CATATTTTTTTTTTATTTTGTCATTAAGGTGACCATTTCCATGTTAGAGTGGTCAAAAAAATCGAGTTTTTCCAAATATGAGTTTTTACCAAAATTCATAACTTATGAACCACTGCACAGAGGAGTATTTAAGCAAGAATGCTAGCCAAAATGGCAAAACTCAAAAAGCTGCCTAGAACATCGTTTTGCACGCCACTGTGCTCCTAACTCTCCAGTGCACTATGTGGCAGCCATTTTATGTTCCTTTGTCGGCTGTCAAAGATCAGTTGTTAGTTGCATGTTGAAATTTAGTTTGAAAATAAGAAAAGTTCTCTCAAAAGTTTTTCGAATTTTAGGCTTAGCATCAACCTGAATTAAAATTGATTTTCAAGATAAAGGTATGTAGAATATTTTGAACTCCAAAAGCAATGAATTTCAAAGCGCAAACATAGTAATTATCAAGGTAGAAGCAAGTCACGAGTTTAGCTTATTTCTTATGTTTGAAAGGTATTTTTGTCAATTTTCCGGGCATTTCCGGGCAGAATGTTTGATACTGTAGGATAGATTAGGGTTCTAACTTGTTTGCGAATTTATGCGAATTTACGATACATTGGTATTTTTTGCCAAGGTAAATATTTCAATTTGCGTATGCTTGCATGCAATTTTTTAAAGTTCTGTTCATTGCATTCATTGTTTTAGAGTCTAGAACGTTGAATTAGAGTTATTATTTCTACAATGGATGATGAAATAATGCGGCAACATATTATATAAATATAATTAGATAAATTATAACGAATAGAGCAAAATTCAAATTGAACTTTTAGGGAGATTATTCTTTTTTTTTACTTTTTGAATACAATTTCACATGAGACATCACATAACTATCAAACTTTGAATCAATGTCAACAACAAATCATCAATTTGAAGTTTGGACAACTTTTTGGGTCAAATACTCCTATGTGCACTGGGCGATTTCAAAGGTGAAAATATCAAATGAAAGGTAAAAATTCTTTTTAGGAAAAATATAATGATATAAAAAAATTGGAAAACATTGATTGTATTTATTTTTTATGGTTTTCATGGTTTGTAGATATGTTTTTATATTTTTCCTTGAAAATGTAGGATTTTCACACAACGTATTAAAAACGCAGCGATTTTATCATTTTTAAATTATATTTTTATGATTTTTTTCAATTTTTGGGTTTTTGTTCAATACTCTTATGCAACTAGACAGATTCGGGGCTGGATGTTCATTCGAGTGAAGTTTCGAACCCCTTCGGATACGGTGGTGGTTAAAATTTGCTCTCTGTTTTGTGCGTGCGTTCGTTTTCATAGTTTTTGGCTGCATTTGCCTGATCAGCCCGGACATTTATACGAGTGTGATTGGTGCTTTTCTCGCTTTTCGAGAAGTTTTAGAATCGAGAAAGAAAACATGATTCATCATGTTTGCAAGCATCAGAAGATTTGGCGCTATCTGCGTTGTTTGATTTTTTATCCCGGACCAAAAATTTGTGGCATCGCGAGTGCTAATTTTAATTTCAGTTTATGATGTTCGTTCGTTCGCAACTATTTTTGAAAAAAATTAAGTGTTTTCGATCGAAAGTGTACCAAAAGTGCTTTTGAAGTGTTTCGCAGTTGGGTGTGGTAAAATTCGTGCATTTTCGGTTGATTTTCAGTGGAAATTCCATATCAATTCCATTCCGACAACGGGTGTGCTTTCGCGAGTGTGACGTTTATTGGATCTGTTTCTTCGAACGGCTGTGTATTTTTGTAAGCAGTGGTCAGTGGTTGTAAGTGTGCCTGCGAATTGCATTGCCTCCTGGGAGCCCGGTTCACCGTGTTCAGATTTCACGCTTTCATCGTATAGTTCTATAGAGAGTCTTTCAGAGACGATAGTTTTTATCTAACTGTAGAAGGATATAAATCGTTCTCTAATCTCTGGGGGCTTTTCAAATTCACCGTGAAGTTATGGATTCCTTGGCAACATATCGGGTGAGATCTTTCCCTCATTGTTCTCTTAACATTTATTCCATTATTATATGACACATTATATGCTGGGTATGGAACGGTCCATCCAGGGCACTCGATTGGAGCAATTTGGATGGGGAGAGTGGAATTGCCATCTTCCTGTCGTTAACAGATCGTGAATCAGGTTCACCCTCCGTTTTTGGTCCTTCATCCAATGGTAAATTGAATACAATCAGGTGTTGTACTTGATCAAGTCGTACGAGGTGAACAGTCCACTGTCTAATGGTTGTGCCTGCAACAATGAGTGGTTTCCTTTCCATACATACATACATACATACACACACACACACATACATACATACAATACTCCTATGCAACTAGACTACCATGCGTCTTCATTGATTTATAGTGACTATGGTCATGACGTTTAATTTTTGAAAACAATCGATTTTTTGATCCTCCTCAACATAGAAATAGTCACCCTAATGACAACATTAAACAATACATGTCTAATATTTTACAATAAGGGAGAAATTATTTCTTTTAACGAAATTATTAGAACCACTGTATCGTTTTGCTATGGAATGACTGAATAATAAATTAATAACCAACTTAAACCATCTAGAAATAATGCATAGCATTTCAGTAACACATTTTTACCAATTTAGTCTACTTTTACTTGACGAAATAAATAATAATAAATAATAAAATGCCTCTCCCTAATTTACTGAATTATCACTTGCATATCCTAAACAAAGCTCAATCCAGTATGTTTTCAAGTTGTCCGTTGGAAATTCAATTGGGTTCATCCTCCGGGGCACCCAGAACATAAAATTTTCAAATGATTTATTAAAACTGCTATAAATTTCCGTTCAAATGCATCCGGTTTAATAAAAATTGGTTTATTTTTCGTTAATGCCATTTTGAAGGTTGATGATGAATATCCATCGATGCCTCATTTCCGCAATCCAATAGGAAAAATATTTAACGATGAGATCAAAAATTAGTGTTTCTTGTGCAAGATGGAGGGACACTGGATAAAAAATGCGTCAAAAGAGAAGTAACAACCATTTCAAGTTACATAACACCGAATGCCGTTCATTCTATCTATGCATGTAGAAGTGTCGCTGCCGTATTAATAACAAAAATTAATACGATATCTAAATTAAAACATGTTGATTACAAAGTACAACACTCGCATCGATCCCCAAACCGGTGTGTAGTATATACGTACCTACTACAACTTAATCCCATGAACCAGAGATTGAAAGTAGCATCCATCGGCTCTGGTTCGCCTCGACTGGGTCTTGGTTGGTCGAACGTTCGGCAGCATTTGCCAGCGCCATCTTCGGCCTCTAAATCATCAAAGTACGATTAGAGACAAGCACAATTTATGTCCACTTTTCATCGTGGACAACAAGTTAGCGTGCTCATAAATATAATCTTAATTATGCACGTATGCAGCGCTCACCGGCGAGCGAGAGAGGCGCAGAGATTTAACCGAAGTGTATGCATAATAAAAAGTTGCATCCTTCTCACAGTCCCGAGATGCACTTGTTCCCTTGTGCAGAAACGGCAACCTATCATATCATGTGCTCGATTAGGTGGGAGCGTTTCGGCTTGCATGATACCTACCTCTCTACTTCACAGCCTTATGGCTGCCGCACGGTGACCCAATGGTAGTCGGTGTGTGCCATTTGATAAATTGCTGGTTTCTCCTGTTCCAGGCGCACCATTTTTCAGTCCCGATCGCCACCTCTTTCAGGTGTTTTGTGCACTGTGCGCAAAGAAGCTGAATTTTTAATTTCGATCAACAGTTGTTGAGGCTTGTTTTTACTGTGTCTCAGTATCCCTATGGGGACTCTGGCTAGCAAGCCGCACAGTAGCGTTTGTATGCAAAAATGGGATCGTCTCATGCATTGGAGGTGCGACTTTCAGACTTTATGTCAGTGCAGCGAGGGGGAAAGTTGCAAAAAATGCAGAAGTAATCCGAGGTGGTATTCCATCAGGAGGAGCAATATTTTACGGTTTATAGCTCAATTTGATATCGATTCAAGATCAGGGCTAATATTTATCGATTTCTTTTGATTTATAAAGCTATGTTGTTACTGTTATTGTAGTTATGGAGGCTGATTCCACGGAGTTCAGGTGGAGGTTCATGGAAATCCAGATTATCCATTTTAAGACATTTCAATTATGCACTTCACTGTTGATAAGAGTACAATCAGTGCAAGAAAATTTAAAATTTACTTATCTATAGATCATCATATCAACCAGACAACCAAAAATAGGAAACGGTCAATGCCAAGGACTTTCATTTTCAATATCCTACATTGAATAAGCTTCACCCGCTCATACACATACACTCGAACTCTGAGTGATTAATAGTAGCTAATTGGCATCTAGTTCTGCCGGCTTCGAATGTGTCCCTCCCCATCTTAATAAACAAATACACGCACTCAGCTAGCCACCGACCGCCGAACGCTCCAAACGCACCTATCGGGCGTAATTAGTTGAGCCAGCCTCGATAGCGATCGGTTCTCTACAAGTAAGGAAATCTCGCAATCGCATATCTCTAGGCGGTAATCTGTGGTCGCGACGCCGTCCGCCGTCCACGATAACCTTCGGGCATGCCGAGTCAAAGTAAATAACACAGTTTGGTACTAGAGACTTCAGGTTGCAGTTCCCCGGGTCAGTTCCGTCCGATAGAGGGCGCTATTGTAAACACAGTCATCGGACATGTCGCGTGTGCTTCTGGAAGTGTGATTTTTTACAACCGTTGATAGCTTGTTTTATGGCGCAGGTTAAATCGCGCTCAATAAAATCATTACTTATAATTTCAGCTGTTCAATAAAGGAGTCTGATCGGAAGGCGGAATTACGATGAAAGGGCGGTTTCGTGTGTGTGTGAGGCGTGGTACAGCGGTGAGCGCGGTTCTTGGTCATTTTGTTTCACGATGAGGTTGTATATTGAAAGGGTTTCAGCGACCGTGTGTGGAATTAGACGGTGATAGGTAAATGTAGTTTGACTGGATAAAGCGCTGTTGATCTTACCTCCTTCGCAGACAGAGGGTCATTTCCGAGTCCATTCTGAAATTGAAATTGAAAAAAAAAGGTTGTTAATAGACTGTTATTATTCTGATTGCTTCAACGTTAGAATAATAAAACATTGACTTCGTTAATGAAGAATGATTGTTGAGATTGGACTGAACTGTTGTTGATTGTTGTTAGCTGTTTTGAAGGATATATTATCTTACTCGATAAAAATGTGATGGTCGTCTAACCTACTTATAAAAACTGTCATGTATCAGTTATTCGCTTAGTAGACCTAGATTTTCTTTATCAGTGGGATGAAGAGGTTAAACGAATGGTAGAATATTATTAAGGTTAGTTAAAAAACAACATTTCAGAAATAAGTTTAACATTTTTATCAACGGAAGCAGAACTTCGGGACAGTTCTTAAAAATTCAGGAATCAGGAAAATAGAGAGAACATTAAGATTTTGAGAACATCTGGGCAGTTTGATTAGTTTCAGGAAAATATCAAGAACGTCCAAGAAGTTCCGAAAATTATAGTATTGTCCATAAAACTCCAGAGAAGTTTAATGAACTTAAGAACAGTTTCGGAAACTTCTCAGAAATTTTCTTGGAAGTCCAGAGAACTTCATGGAGGTTTGGAGAGCTTTAGGTCGATTCCAGATCAACATCAGTAAGGAGTAGGCTGTGCGTGTTATCGTACCTGACGTTTGTTTTTTTTTCGTGTAGTTTTTTTTAAATCTATAATCGGTTGCTGATCTGGCCAAAACCAGGCCCAGGGGACAATTTCTAGTTCCTAACTGAGTTCGCTAAGACAGAAGAAACCCTGCGAGAGCTGCATCTCATTGTATCTAGTTCTACGTCCCTGTTATTTCCCGCTGAGAAGCTGTTCCGAAGACAAGTAGAACCTCCATGAGTTCAATCATTCGTTGAGTTGTAGCAAGTACGCTGTATTAATTTCATGATATCATTTAAGATATATCAATTGTAAATATAGTTAGTTTTCCAATTCGTTATCATTAGTTTTGTGTGTAGTCACGTTAAATTATTTATAGCATGAAAGCTCGTTTTTAAAATTTCAGCCTAAATGTATTCACCGCCAAGGGAGAGCCACAGTTAGAAGAGTTCCAGTAGCAATAAAATAATTCGAATGAGTTCCCTGCGCTAAGCTACAAGCGCAAAGGAAATGTCCCGATAGCCTGATAGTTTGCTTGGTGTATCACTTTGATGCCACAATTTCACCGCATTAGCTTGCGGGCATCGACCCACAAGCTAATCGATTCAAAATGCGTTGACCTTTCATATTCGGTTTTGCGCACTTTTCACGAACTTGGGAGAGAATTTGACTGGTTGATTTGAATAGGCAGTTGGAATGAGATGCCACTAATTTTGGTAGGAATTACGCGTGAGTAATTTAGAGAATCGGAAATCGTGATTTGGACTTCGTCCAAATTCGCGTCATCTGAGGACGAAGATCTCCTTGCGCGGTATCTGAGGATTACCTCAGTCCTTAATCTTCCACTTTGTTCTGGTTCGTGGAAGAGGCAAGAGTGGTCAGTGTTTGATCCGTGCCGTGGTGGGTTTAAAAGGGTGTGCATAAAGTGACATGAAATCCTAATAGGGCATTTGCTAAACTAATTCTCCTTTCCCTTAGTTAGGCACAAATTAGTTATTAGTGCAAGAAGTTTGGCGGTAGTGTGTGCAGAAGTGAACATAGTCAGGTAAATCTACTGGTTCAGATAACCTTAAGGGCGTGATTGTGATTATCCCCATGCATGCATTGGTTTTCCTGAAACATAATAGGTTCGTGGCTGCGCAAGCCAATTGCCGACACACCTCCGTTTCAGTTACGACCGCTTTTGATCCCACCTATCAGCTACAAAGGATCCCGGGGTACACGTGGCCGGAAGAAGGACGCTTTCACCAATTTCGCGCCTTTGGCAGGCAGGCTCATCATCGCTGTATCGGTTAACAGCAACCGAACACGTGCAAACTACTGTTTCGGCGCGCAAGCAACAGCATCCGGACAATCGAGCGTATGTACCACGCTCCACGCGTAAGCCCGCGAATCGGTGTAGGAGACACCCATCAGTTCATCGCATCGATGATAGTTTCCGGACCGAAGTAGTGCGCAACGCAGCTTCGGTACCACCGCCGGTCTCCTCACCAACGCAGCAGAAAATCCTAGGTCGTGAGTACTAAAAATATGCATGTTATCCGTTTGTTTCGTCCATGGCCATGTGACTCGTAGAGGCACAAACTTATCTAGCCCGTATGTCCATTAATAAACGGGACTAGATTAGAATGAATGTCGGAATGTGAATCCACCGACAAAGTGAGTACCAACAGAAGAACCTGCACACAGTGAACACGCACATGGGAAGAAGGAACAACAAAAATCTAGGCCTAGAAATACAATACGAATGTAGGGAAGTAGAGCAACAATAAAACGCTTTGTGCTATAATTGCGTTGAAATGAGAGTGGAGCTTTATATTATGTAGAACTATACAAATGTTTCCCAATAAACCGTTTTCCGTATCTATACACTGAATGTAATCCGTTGTATATATTTGAATGTTATTTGGTTAATTTCTGTTAAGGTTTTCATGTTGCTCCGTGTTCGATATTAGTTTCTTTTGGAATTTGATGTTACTGGGAGGTCAGCCCGTTACTGACCATTTGACTGCTCTCTATTTGGAAACGGGTCAGAACTTTTTGGGATTTTGAGGCTGGGCCGGTGATGAAAAACCCCGCCAAAGAGCTTCTGGTGCTCGGTCGTTTCTATTGATAACCTCGTGTACGTGTTTTGAAGATTAGTGGCATCCACACGTGTCACGTGAAGTACAGTGGACGTATTTAAGTCGGCCAGTCAGCTTCCTTCCCCTCTTCGGGAAAATTGATCATCCATCATGAAGGTCTCATAGCCGGGCAACGCATTAACTTGTTGGATGGTCTCCTTTTGGAGTGGCGCATAAGCCATCCAATTATCAAAAAGGGGAAGCTCGACAGGCTGGCGGGTTACAGAGTCGCAGCGTCGAACCTGACTATTGGCCATGAAAAGGCTTGCCAATGCACATAAAAAAATTGACTACATACATCCGAACATTTGTTTATCTCAAATCGACGGAAGACATTCCGCGCAACTACCATAAACCGGACTAGTTCATGTTGATCTTCGTCAAGCTTCGTCTACAATTTGGACTTCTACATCAACACATGTCAAGCAGCCTTCAGGTTCAATTGGCTAAACTTGGTGAGTTCGTTCCATTTTGTAAATTTTTATCTTTGCAAACCAGTAACGTTGGGAGATAACCTTTTTGTGGTGCTTTACTGGTATAAGATCTACCACCGAACCCTATTCGTGACAACTTCAAACTAGGGAATCATCATTGTCCAGTTATCAAAGGATCACATTTTTGTCCTTGTTTCTTGTTTTGACTTGATAATAGTGACAAGACTCGGGTAGTGACCACCGCCGTTATGCATTTCTATATTGTATGTTTCAAATCAAAAATATTGTTTATGCTCATAGAGTTTAAATAATCCTTTTCCCTTTGTCCTGCTCCACTTCCTTTCCCTCTTCTCTTTTCAGAAAGCCAGTAATGGCGCTATAGCCATAAGCCATAAAAGGCTAGGACAAGAGTTAGTGCTCATGTCCCAACCGTCAGAAGAAAATAGAACATCACTGAACCTTTCTAGTTTTGATGCTTCCAACGATCAACCAATCATATAATTATCAAAATCAGAACGTACGGTACGAGATGTCCACGTTTCATCTAATGTTTTCTGAATTATCTTGCCCCTTAAATGCTACACAGTAGGCGTGGCCGTTTTGATATGTGTGACGCATCTTCGATGTGAAACATATATCAAATAGACAAGAAAAATGATGGAGGTATATCCGTCACTTTCCAGGATGCTTTCAAGAGCTGTGTTGGTGTTAGATTAGATTAGATTAGATTCCAGATCAACATCAGTAAATTTGGAGAGAATTTAAGGCAAGCTTCGTGAACTTCAAGAAAGTTTAGAGTGTTTTAGGACAGTCCCATTAATTTCACACACAAAATTATGATTTCAAGGAAGTTTAATCAACAAACTGCGAGAACATAAGAAAAGTTCCGAAATATTTTGGAAACTTCAGGGAAGTTTAAAAAATTTCAAGGCGGTCTTATTTGCTTCATGAAAACTGCTGCGACTTTTAAGAAGTTCTGAAAACTTCAGGAATATCCAGAGATCTTTGGGGAATTTCAGAGTACTGATGGGCGGTTCCAATAGCTTCAGTGAAGTTCCGAGAACTGCAGGATAGTCCACGACTTCCGGGGAAGTTTTAATATCTGCAAGCGTAAGTTCCAAACAGTTCCATGAACTTCTAGAAAATCCCGAGAGATCTAAAAAAAGTTTCAGGGATTTCAAGGTAGTCCAGAGAACTTAAGAAAACTTCAATGAAAATTCTGAATCTTCAGCGAAACCCAGACAACATCAGGATAGTTTTAAAGATTTTTAGGAGAGTTCCATTTATGTCAGGGCAGTATCAAGAACTTTAGGAGAATTGAGGGAACTTTAGGGATGCTCTGAGATCATTAACCTTCCTCTGGTATTAATGAAAAGTAACTCATAAGACATTAGGGTTATCCAAAACACAATGTTTTTACCTCATTTGAAATGTAAATTTAAAAAAAATACAATTCTGGCTGGGTGTGTGACCAAAAGTATATACTAAGGGGCTGCCCATTAACTACATAGAAAGTTTTTTGGGATTATTGACCCCCCTCCTCCTGCGTAGATAATTGTCCATACAAATTTTTTTAATTTGTATGGGCCGTAGATAATTGTCAATCCTCCCTCCCTCTATCTACGTAGTTTATGAAAACAGCCCCTAAGTAATATGTTCACTCATAAAATCGCACCAATTCAATGGTTCTTGATCATACATACTCAGTTATAATTTAGAATACGATTCCATAGACAATAGATGATTTTAACACCATGCAAAATAACATTTCAAACTGTTACAGCAAAGTTGATCAGTGTATCGAGCACCGTCATTTGACACT